CATTACAATGTATCGCTGGCTGGTGGCCATGTTTGCGTGTTTGCTTGTCGTTAGTGGTCTCTCCACCGTGTGCCTTTTTCTGTCTCTTATTTCTTGTTATTTTCGGCCTGTCCTCGCACTTTTTATTTCATTTTTTCTTTCCTTCTGTTTCCTTTTATTTTCTTCTCTTTCTCTCTTTTTCTCTCGTTTTCTGTGCCAGATGGCCTTGCTTCTGCTTGCGTTGTGAAGTACCAAGATTGAACCAAGGGGGTGTACCTCATTCTCTCCGGCCCGTGATGGTGACCCCTAGTCTCAGTTGTTACCTCGCATAGCGCGCAGAGGGAGTGGAGGACTTCAGAATATCTGTCGTTGATTTCTATTGACTTGCGGACCCCTCGGGGCCAGCTTATTTGAGTGTACCTTTGTAGGGTAAGTTAGCATGCGACCACGGGAATCGACCGCGTCGAATGTTGTATCAGTACGGACATGCGAAGGTACTGGGTAGAGAGAGATCGGAACGGTTTTTAATGTGAAGACAACAACAACAACAACAACAACAACAACAACAACAACAACAACTCAAGTAGTTCTGGGTTCCCACGTTAAACTGACACGAAAAATTTGGACTGAGTTAGATTGACACCAAAACAAGTGACGGTTGGCAAATTGACACGAAAAAAGGTACAGTCGTCCCCGCTTTAAAGACGCTCATCTTAAGTCAACTCCCCGCGATAAAGACGAAAAAAAATTCCGAACCATGGTGCCCCGCAGATATACAATATGAGGGGGGGTGTACTTTATATACTGCGGGGCCCCCCAGAAAATCGTGCAGCACACCTGTAGAACTGCACAGAGAGCGGTCTGCCACTGCTGATGCTGCTGCTGCAACCGCTACTGCGTGGATATGGATAGATTCCTTTCGTCTGCTGACGGTCCGTCTGCCGCCCACACGACAACATGTGGGGAGCCATCATCGACGACCTCTGCGAAATGGTCTCCAAGATGTCTATGCCAGCCAGCGCCACGGACTCTAGATCCACGGCGCGAGTGTTGACGGACAACTTGTTCGTCGAGAAAGCCTCAGGCCTCACGGACGCTGAAGTGCGTCAGGCAGTAAAGACGTGGCTTAGTGTAGAGGACGACCCAGAGGTGTTGGAGGAAGAAATAGCAATGGAACTGCAGGCTGTAGACGAGCAACTGGCCGGCGTAACCCTCGATGACGATGTNAACACACAAGACCGGCAGCAGCAGGAGTCCCATGGAAGTGGAAGACGATAACGAAGACAACGAGCAGACCAACAGGTGATGTACAACAAAAAAACAAAAATACTGTACCCACGGAGCCTGTACATACATCTATCTACAGCAGCACTAAACCATTCACAAAAAAACTGATCAGCGTTACATACGGGAAAAAAAAAAAAAACAAGTCCGTAGTGTCACGACAAACAGTATTTATTGTTGTTGTGGAGCACGCATACAGCAGCAGCGCCCACTTATCCACAAAGAACTGTTGTGTATCACACGAAAACGCTGCAGGACATCTGTCTATTGTATGTTGTACAGGACTGTCTACAATGCTGCATCTTCTCCCCACATATTGCTTCGTTCCCTGCGAGATAATTCTGGTGGCCGTGATTTTTTTCGGTTGCAGCAGACAGCAAATCTAACCTCGTGTCCACACTTTGGAATTTCCACTTTGTTGTACCACGCAGCAGTACACAGCCTGTTCGAGGAAAGGGGAAACGGCCTGCTGCGGCTACCACAAGGGCGAGCGGTAGCACAGGGAAACGGCCTGCACCTTCGGCGGCCACCGCAGCGGCGGGTAACGCGCCTGCAGCGGGGGCGGCTACCGCGCCTGCAACGGGGGCGGGCGCCAGCGCGAGGAAACAGCCTCACGCGGCCGCGGGGGCGGGGAGGAGCGCCGCCGCCGCCGCCAAAAAAGGCAAGGCGAAGCCCGGATCAGGTCACGGCCAAAACAAACTCACAACGGGCCAGCGCCTACAGCTAGTTAGGGACGTCCAGGCTGGCAAACAAAGGAGCAAGGTGGCGGCCACGTACGGCGTCACGACGTCGTACATCAGCAAGTTGATGAAGCCCGACAAGTTGGCCGAGCTTCACAAGTCCCGCGATTCGGAACTCAACCTGGACGCCCTTCGAACACCAACGCCCGTGCACGACGATCTGGAAAAGCGTTTGCTCCAATGGATCAAGGTGGCACGAGCGCGATTCGAGGTAAGGGTCATTCGGCTTCACAGCAGCAGCTACATTTTGCAATTTTGTTTGTTCATTTCTTTGCCCCCCCCCCGTCCCTCTCTCTCGCAGACAACCTGGCTCACCTGACCTCCTGAATAGATTCGATGGAAGAACTAACTACGTTAATACGCTGCTGCTGCTGCTGCTGCTGCTGCTGCTGCTGCTGTATTTACTGCCATACAGACAACCAAGATTGGGTTGAGCGGCATCATGATCCAGACCCAGGCAACAAAGTTCGCGTCGGAGATGGGCAAGAAGGACTTCACGGCAAGCAAGGGCTGGCTACATCGCTTCCTCAAGCGCTACGGCTTCAAGCACATCAACCTGCATGGCGAAGCTGGCGACGTGGACAAGACGAAGTATGAGGAGCAGATCGCGAAGATCCGGGAGCAGCTGGAGGGGTTCGACGTCGAGCTCATCTTCAACATGGACGAGACGGGGCTTTTCTTCCGCTGTTTCCCGAGAGGCACGTATGTCACGAGGGCAGAGGATGCTGCAGGGGTCAACAGGAAAACCGCACGAGGTTCGAAGGCCATGAAGGCCAAGGACCGATGCACAGTTGTCGCCTGCTGCAACACCACCGGGTCGCTCAAGGTGCCGCTGGCCGTTATCAGCACGGCAAAAAACCCGATGGTTTTCCGGCATATTCGCAGATCACCAATCCCCTACTACTCCCAGCAAAGTGCCTGGCTCGACTCAACACTCTGTCAGCGGTGGTTCGACGAGGTTTTCGTCCCCTTTGTGAAGAAGACCACTGGGAAGAAGGTGGTGCTCTTGTGGGACAACTGCCCAGGCCACAAGATCAAGAACGACGACCCGCAGATCATCATCATCTTCCTGCCCCCGAACGTCACGTCCGTCTTTCAACCCATGGACATGGGGATCCTGTTTGCCCTCAAGTGCCAGTACAAGACCGAGATGGTGGCGAGACTGGCGGATCTCATCGACGTGTGGGACGCAGTGCGCGCGCGAAAAATCAGAAGGTATGTAGGTGTCAGTGTAGTTTTAGTTGTATTTAACGGCGGTGATGATGCATCAAGTTGCTGCAGTTGTGTACCGTTTTACTCTATCCGAGCGAGTGCTATGCGTCGGTGCTGCCTTACAGTAAAACCGTCACCGATGCCGGAAAAAACCCTCGCACCAAAACCCACCCTCTACGTATTGATAGATTCTCACCTTTCGACATGCTTTCCTCTCTTTGTACTTTTGCGCAGGGGCTGCCGGGGCCTGAACGATGCGGGCCAGGCGACAATGCTGGATGTGACGGAGATTCTGTCGGAGAAGTGGGAGAGCTTCTCGAGCCAGACTGTCATCAGGTGCTGGCTCAAGGCCAACATCCTTCCCAGGGAGCACGAAAACGCGCTCAAGGGCAAGGACACGCGGCTGGACCGAGAGGACAAGGAGGACACGGCCATCATCGACGACCTCTGCGAAATGGTCTCCAAGATGTCTATGCCAGCCAGCGCCACGGACTCTAGATCCACGGCGCGAGTGTTGACGGACAACTTGTTCGTCGAGAAAGCCTCAGGCCTCACGGACGCTGAAGTGCGTCAGGCAGTAAAGACGTGGCTTAGTGTAGAGGACGACCCAGAGGTGTTGGAGGAAGAAATAGCAATGGAACTGCAGGCTGTAGACGAGCAACTGGCCGGCGTAACCCTCGATGACGATGTACCCAGCGAAGAGGAAGACGACGACGGTAGGTCAGAGTCGTGCGTGACAACGTCGCTTACAGAGGCCGACGTCCGCTTTCGCCTCGAGGAGTGCCGCTCCTTTTTGAATGCGAAAGGAAGGGAAGGACGGCGAGTACAGCGAAACGCTGTACCTTCTTTCGAGGACTGTGCATTCGTTCACTCACGAAACTCAAGTCAACCGAAGAGCGAAGCAGGGGGGTGAGGTGCAGGCCACTCTTGGCGATATGTGGGGGCGATAGTTTTTTTTTTCGGAGGGCATACAGCGATGGGCTCTTTTTTTTTATTGCTTCATCTTCACCGATAATTTAGCGTTGATGTCCATCTGAGTTTCGTGTGTAGGGTGTTTGTGTCTCTATCGCTTAGGATATACTGAAGTATCGTGTCAAAGTTGGAACCGCTGTGGTGAAGGATGTGTCGGTGAGGTTTTCAACATCAGGAAAACGAGAAGAAAATAAAAACAACACAGCAGGCAGCAGTCGCCACACAACCGAGAGAGTGCACTGCAGTCATAACAAAACTATATCCCGCAACAACCCACATGTCGGGAGCATATTATTGCGGGCGGTGGCGCGGTAACTTAAAACATGGTTTATAATATATAAATATATATATATAGTGCATTCCACTTTCAACCACGGCTACGTTGTGAGCGGTCAGATTTATGGATCCTCGTTTCGTTATAAGTTACGTGTTGCAACGGCGCGTCTTTTGATGTATGTTATGCCTCCATCGGCCCCGGGGGTGGTGCGTTATCGTCCCCGGAATCTTAAAGACGATTCCCCGCGTTAAAGACGCTTTGAAAAAAAAAACGCTATGCGTCTTTAAAGCGGGGACGACTGTACAGATGTAACGGTTGGTAAATTGGCACGAAAAAATATTCCGCCGCACGTTGCCTGGCCAAGGCCAGCAGCGGCGCAGCCTCAAGCAAAAAAAATTCAACCCCAGCTGCACCGCTGCAACGCCGGGAAACCCAACGGTCGCGCTCCCTCATCACCGCACCCGACACAGAGCGAGGGGATGGCGCGCCTTGCGCGAGGTAGAATCCGCTACGAGTGGTATGATGAGTGCATACAGGTTCTACTGCTTGCTGTGTTGTGCGCTCTAGCTGGAGAGGAGGACATGTTCCTCGTGTGTAGCCATGTTTGGCGTAGCAAAGCTGGAGACGTGTTTCCCCTCGACTCCCGAGAACTACACTCCGCGAACTACACTCCCCAAATACCAACCGCCGCCAGCGGCTTCGCGCCCCTAGTACGTGCGCCCAGAGCTACCGTCTCCTCCACCAACAACTGCTGTAACCTCTCCCTTCACGGGCGGGGCACCCGACTAGCTGCTGTTGTGGTTTATCTCCCGAGTGCTTCGAGTCCAGAGTCCAGACAGACCAACCCTCGGCGTGTTTTGTCCTCGATCCCGCCATGAACGCACACGATCCTAACCGTGGCTTGACGTTCCCCTGACGCGATGTACTCCCGGGATCATTGTGTTCATATGTGTGGGTGTGCGGGAAGCTACGTGCGAGCTTGCCGACTGAGTTGATGCCTTTGTGTATGTGCGATGGCGCTCGTGTCAAATTGCGGTTTTCTCGTGTCAAAATACCTCAGGTGAAAATATTTTCACCACGTTTCCGAAAAATTCTGACCTGTGATTCTGAAATGAAAAAGTGCGACGTGACCTCTCGTGTCAAAATTCTGACGTCTCGTGTCAACATTCCTGACACACGTGGGACCCATGTAATAATGTCTGCACTCACGGTCAGAAAGAGCTCTCTCGGGCGCGGAACATCGAGGACAAGACATACCTACCGTAAGCGACAGGGTGCTCGTCAACGTCATCTCCACATTTCTAACTCCCTCTTTCAACAGCGAGGAACTGAGAGCGAATAATGGTCCGCATCTCCAAAACCAACAAGCATTATTTTTTCCACAATCATGCACTTCTGGCGAATATATTGCTGTGTTCTCTTCTCGTATCTACCATCCTAGAACACATATGTGCTTTTTTCTTCTTTCTTTCTTGTTCTCCATGCCCTCTCTACGATGATCTTGGACGATACCTCGAGCTCCTTGTTATTTTTGTTTTTTCCTTTGCTGGCTGCCTGCCACCTCTGCTGCCTCTTTGGTGCGGTGCCTACCCTACACTAATGCGCTGGTGCATACTGCACTGCTGTAGTACCTGGTACTGGTGTACGTTGTCCTTCGATTTTTTT